GAGCCCAGCCTCTACCACTGCCTGGAGAACTGTGGCTCCGTGCTGCTGTCCGTCACCTGCCAAGGCGGCGAGGGCAATAGCACCTTCTACGTGGACTACCGCACGGAGGACGGCTCCGCCAAGGCTGGCTCCGACTATGAGTACAGGTGGGTCCTGGGCAGGGTTCCCCCACCTGCCCTGGGTGGATGGGAAGAGAGGGCTGACTGCTCACGGATCATAGGTTCCGCCATCCAGCAGCCTCCAGGCTACGTGTCCCTAGTGCCCATCCTTACTTTGCTATGGGCAGACCTGCAGTATTCATTCATTCATTCATTCACTCACTCTTTTGGGAGAGAGGTCTACTTAATTTTTTAGAGGAGGTACTGGGGATTGAACCCAGGACCTGGTGCATGCTAAGCATGCACTCTACCAGTTAAGCTATACCCTCCCCACCATTCATTCACTCTTGAGAGTTTACTTTGCACCAGACACTGTTATGGGCATTCGGCACGCACTGTTGGACGAGACAGACAGCGTGGCTGGCCACTGGCCACAGGCTGCTCCTCCAGTGTCCATTATCTACCTGTACCTTCTTGTGCTTGATACTGCACTGTTAATTATTACAGCTCCATTACAGGTACCGTTACCTGGTGGAACATGTACCTCCCCCCACACACACACACGATTGTTATAGTAAAAGTGTTTATTGAGCCCTTACTGTATGCTGGGGGTATACCGTGGTGAACAAGACTGCTAAGGTCTCTATCCTCTAGTTGCAATAACGTTATAAACTATTAAACGTAGAAACCATCAGATGATGGTGCTATGGGGGAAAGTGAAATAGAGTAAAAGGAGCGAGATGATGCCCATTTGGTCCTCAGATCCTTGGTTCCACCATAAAGCCACCCACCCTTGGCATCCTACTGTGTCTCACTGCCCAGCCCCTCTCCTCACCCGCCTTTGAGCAGCCCTGTAATCTTGTTCAGCAATTCCTACAATGTGCCTATTAGTTACCAGATGCTTTTTTTAAGGGGCTCAACAGAGAACAGTAAACAAGACAGATAATTTGTGTTCTCACGTGTCCACAGAATTCTTTATGTATTTGTAATTCTTCTGTCCACACCATTCTCTTTCAAGAATTATAGATTTACAGTATATTTTGTTAACTCATGTGCAAGTCTCACAGGGTCTCCTATAATAATAAAGTTTATTATATGTCTTCAAC